ACGTGTGACCGGTCTGAACGGCAGAGCCTTCCCCCACCGGCTCCCGGCCCTGTGCTCCTAGTAGGGCAGCAGGCAGACCCATCTCCCCACAGACTGGCCCCGATTCAGTAGGGCTCACAAAGGCTATGTCTAGTTTACATTCTGTTTACGAAAGAATATGCAAATTGAGTGGGAATTTGCATAGCTTCTTCTGATCTCTCTTTTGAAAGTGGAAGTAGTCCGGACACGTTTTTTTCCGGGGGGGGGGGGGGAACGCCTTTTTCGGAAAAAAAACCCATCTCTGCCTTAAAAAATGAGGTTTACGTGGTTTTTTCGAAACAGGGCCCCCCCCCCAAATGCATCCAGACTACTTCCACTTTTGAAAGATCCTCGTTCAAAAGTGAGATTGGAAGAAGATATGCAAATTCCCACCGAATTTGCATATCCTCTTTTGGGGGGAAAAAAACCCTCCGTAGTTTAGACGTACACTATGGGATCCAATCCTCCCACAGGATCCCCATGGACAGCCCCGTGTATCTGCACGGATTCTCGAGCATGTCAGCGTGGCGCCCCCCAGTTCACGCGTGGCTCAGCATGAAAGCAGCCTGCACCGAAAGAAGATCCTCCGTCAGTTCGGTCACTTACAATTGGCTGTAGCTGAGCGCCGGGTAGCATGAACTGCATCTGCTGTGCGAACATGGCGGCTGCTGTCTTTTGCTGGATCAGGTTGTTGCGTCCGTTTATTTCGAGCTGTGTTTTTAAGTGCGGGGGAGGGTGAAGATATTTGCAGTTCTCCCGAGTACACCGGCCCTGAAAAATAATGAAGCAGTATTTCAGTGACGGTCCCACGCAGGGGGCTGGGAGAGAATCAATTATGGACGTGTTTGGAGAACTGTAACAAAACTACCGGCGAAGTGGAGCGTTCTGCCCAGCTATTTCGCCTCCTTTTTTAAAGCCATCTGTTAGATTTCTATACGGCTGCAGCAGTGACGTGGAAACAAGCAATTCTACCACTGCCACACTGTGATGGGGACGGCAGCACATTACACTTAAGCCAGGGTGTCCGTCACAGCCGAATACAAACTGAAATATTTTCATGAGCAATAAAAACAGCAACAGCAAAAAATATTTTTTCATTGTTCTGGGGCTTTGGGAACCAAACACGAGCTCATTGGGCTGCTGTATCGTAGCTGAAAGTGAAACCTACTAGTATACAAAAGTGAAACAGAGGCCGCCAGCCCCTGGGAAGACCTGAGTGGAAAGTACGAGCTAAACCTACCCCTATGGGGAAAAGTACAGAATGCTCTCTGTGTGAACCAGTGCAGGGTGTTTGGTACCACAGGGAAGAGGGAAAACCAGCCCCGTTTTAACTATTTCCTTTTATTAAAAACAATAATACAACGGCCGGGCCATGAATTGCTCGATTTTTCTTTTCACACCACGCTGAGAACGGCAAGGACTCCCGAGCAGTGCACGCGTGGTGCCCTCACGTCATTTAATATCGGTTGAGATGATCCCGCCCGGTTCCAAAAGCCGCTCGAAAATGTCGCTTGGTTGAACAGCATCACCACCGACAGTGTGAGCACCCGCATGGGTCACCAACTTTCTGGTGCGCCCAGAAAATTACAGATTGGGCCTCCCTGGTCCGGCCCACTTGGGACCTCACCGGTCCCGAATGAGGGGATTTGCTGGACCAAGGGGAGGTCCCCAACCTGCCGCCGGCTCCGCTTCTGGCTCAGCTGGTCCCTCCGGGCTGCCGACCCTGGCCAGGCTTGCCAGATGCTGACCCCTCCATTGCCAGCCCTGGACAGCCCCCCCTTGCCGCCAGCTCCAGGCCCACCAAACCAGAAACTAGCCCCAAGGCTGGTCCCCAGTCCTGGCTGCTGGATCTGCTGCAACCACCTCTTGAGAACAGATCTGGTGACATGAAGGAGGTTCCGGTTTAGGGAAAAACAGGCCCCTGTGGCTCCTGGATATAGTTGCACTGCTGCCCTTAAACACAGGCTGAGAGACAGCTGCTACCTCTGGCTCCCCAGCGAGCAGGCAGGGGGGGCGGCTCCTCCCCAGAAAGGAGCCGGATTTGCTCCATGCCTGGGAACCGCTGCAAGGGGGCAGAAATGCACAGGCCTTTTCCCACCGGCTCTGCGAAGCGGGAGAGATTCAATCCCCTCTGTTGAGAGGGAGGAACCGCACTCCGACCCTGCAGGAGACTGCCCTCGCGCAGGCAAAGGCCGAGTGGCAGCTTGGGGGCTGGGGCGGGCATGGGGTCAGGACTCCCCTCCCCAGCCCCTGGTGCAGCGAGCACGCAGGCAATGTCCCCAGCCT